TAAAAAATGTTAAAGCCCCATATCTATCAGAAAAAGTCGGTTTGGATCCTTGAGGAAAAAAAAAGTTGGATTTTGTCGAGTAGTGTTATCCAACTCATTCAGCAAAAAATTTTATTTTAATTTTCTTGATCCAAATTTTTCTAAAATTCGGTAGCAACCTCTAAAAAATTAAAAAAAAAACATGTAAATTACTATGAAATCCAAGGTAACGAAACTAGGGGGTGTCCCGTTTGAATTTCGAAAAAAAAGTTTTTTGGCCCAGCCTAATGTACGTCCATTGGTTTTAATAATATTTATATGTACATAATTTGTTTAACTTATTGTCTGGTTATTGTCTTGTTTCGAACATGTGATATTGCTAAGAACGGTGTCTCTCTTTCTCTCTCTTTGGTCTGGCTGTTGGCAAAAGTTGGCAGGTTGAGTTTTTAATGTGGGAGGGGGATTGTTTTAAGGCATCAACAAGCTGATAAGGAGAGAGGGGGTACGCCTGATGCATAAATATGTACATACATATGTATGTGCATTGGCTTTAATAAAAACTTATGCATTAGTAACTCATTCAACTTATTGCCGTGGGTGGTGGGCGGGCGGTGGATGGTTGTTGCCTTTTTTAGAACGCGTGATATCTCAATGCATGCCCTTTCTTTCTCTCTTTCTGCCTGGTTGTTGCAAAAGGGACAAACTGATTTGCTTATGTGGGTGGGGGGTGATTGTTTTAAGTCTTAGAATCTTAGACATCAACAAGCAGACTGCAGATCCGGCATTCTAATATTCTCTACGATTCTGCGTTTTCAGTTTTATCGCCTGCCACAGTTTTTTTTGTGCCTGCCATAGATTTTTCTTCTTTGTGGGGGCGGAAGGGGGCGTGGCGAAATTTTGAAATACACTTGTGGCAGTGTGATATCACATGAGTCTGGAAACCAAATTTGGTTGCTCTAGCTCTTATAGTCCCTGAGATCCAGGCGACAAACAAGACGGACGGACGGACAGACAGACATGGCTCTATCAAGAATATATATACTTTATGGGGTCGGAAACGTTTCCTTCTCTACGTTACACACATCCACTTTTACCACAAATCTAATATACCCCTTAGCTCTTTTTTGAGTACGGGTATAAAAGTGCCAAAGTTAAACGAGGTATAAAACTTTATCTTTGAGTAGCTACAGCTTCAGTTACATCCATTATATTACCACGAATCAAAAATCTTGTGAAAGGTACTACAATTTTCTTATTTCAGTTAATTAACAATTATTTGCTAACTATAAACTATAATAGGAATATAATACTTAAAGAAAAAATATAATAGAGGAAGGGTGGTTATAAAAATTTTCTAGGTTAAGGTGATGGTAAACGAGACGTACAATCGTATCAAGGGATATGTCGGGGGGAAATGGTATTGTAATAAAAATTGTAATTATTGCAATAAACACGGAAAGGTTCAGGATGGGCGAAGTTAGATCTGCAGAAGGGTAAACGGATAGGCCAGAAAACCCGGGTTGGTCTGGAAGGAACTGTAAAATCTATCTATAAGGAGGTGAAAGGTGTAACGAGGATAGGTCGAGTAGTTTTAGCCTAGAACGGTATGGAGGTAACCGTTTGGAGTCCTAGTTCAGATTCCTAAGGGCAAAAGTTAAAAATTGTTTTTGAACGGATTGAATTTGAATTTGTTGCTCTTTTTATTGAGGGCTCCATACACAAGAACAGTACTTCAATATCGTGCGTACCAATGAGACGTACAGTGATTTTGTTATATACGGGTCGTCAAACTCTTTTGACCAACGCTTAATGAACGCTAAAACTACCTTAGCTTTGTTCACCGTTATTAAGCAATATGGCTGTTAAAGCATAGCTTATGATCAAACAGGACTCCTAGGTCATTTTATGTGTAAATTCGAATTACTATAATCTGTGGAAATTCGATCTACTATAATCTGATCAGCACAACCTAAAGCAGAAACCACAGAATGAATGGCAGAAAGGTGTTTCAAATAAACAACAGCATCAGATCTAGGAGGAATGTATGAACAGGCTAAGAAGATAAACGACACTCCAATACGGAATTTGACTGCTACAAATTCAATTTCATGGGTGTTGTTAAATGGAAACAGCTCGGACGCAAAATCATTTTTTACTGCAATAAGAACCCCCCCAGCAAATGATGGTCGATCTATTCTGTAGGTGGGGAACTTGTGGATGAAAATTTCATTATCGGAGACGGAAGACTTAAGCCAGGTTTCAGTTATAGCCATAGCGTCGAATTAAAAAGAGCGCCGTATATATTTTTGTCAATTTACCCAAAAGACTGCGTACATTCTGATATTGGATGGTGAAATGGTTCCTCAGTTCTTTTAAACAGTGACAGTGACTCTAGGACTCTGGAAAGAACTTCTTAGGGGAAATTCATGCAAAATAGTGTGCTCACGCCATGCTGACGGTTCCAGGGCTTTGGATAGAAGAGAATCGGGAAGACAAATTTTGAAGGATGAAATATTACGCTTATGTTTAAAATTAAATATAGTTATGATAAAGTCATCAGGCGGTGAGTTGAGATAATGACTAAGATGTAGTTTAACATCTTCCGGTGTGGTTTCTGGAAGGAGGCGAGAGACAAAGATTGCCTTTTGAGGTACCGAAAAGAAATCAGCGTCAGTAGATACTGGTGGAACAGGAACGGTGGCAGGAACATTGAGGACATCATCAGCCACATGCATACGCACACTGGAAGCACTAAAAGCGGTGTCAGCAGTGATGGATACAGTGAGTGGCGCTACATTGTTAGTCGGTGTGAGAAACGGATTGATTTCTGGCCAGGCATGACAACTCGGCGAAGCCAAGAATTCCAAAGTATGTAGCTGAGTATGTTGTTATCGTTGTTAGGGAATTTCCGTCTAGGAGACTCGCTCAGAAGTTTGAGGCCTAGAGAAATTCAGATTCCAAGGTCAGAAACTTCTCGTTGAGAGTGACAAATTGCTTCCGGTCATCCAAAAAACCAGTACGAGTCTGTCTCATAAAAGTACGCATTTCAACCTCAATCTCCCAGCACGCTAAACATGACCAAGTCAGGCCAACCCTTTTTAAAATTCAAACCTGTAGCCGACCAAAATTACTACCAACAGCACATTTTAAATGGGAAAAAATTGTCACATAGCCAGCAGCTAAGGTATAGAATTTCATCGGCTGCAGACGATATTCATTTTCATGCAGACAGCAGCTGAATCACTCTGATTCACGACGAAAAATGCAAAGTGGGAGCGCAAGCTATATAAGAGAGAAGGCAGCAGAGAGAGCGACGATCAGCAGCAGCGGCAGACGATCCAGCGAGGGGACGAAAACAAACAGTGAAGCTCACGAAAGCAGAGACACCGAAAGAGCAATTCAAGAAGAATGTAGGCGAAATCCAGAGAAAGTGAGAGAAAGAGAGCTTGCACTTGTGCGCTCCAGAGCGTGTGTTGGTAGGAAATGCAGCAGGCGCACGAGCGATGAGCAGAGAGGGCGTTGATCCAAAGCGGAATGGATAACAGCACCTTCAAATCGTTTGAGCAAATTTGTTAAACGTTGGGAATGTTTAATTTATATTCAGTCAAATGTTAGCAAGTGAAACACATATAACCGGCACAATTAGTGAGCAGCTTGATGGGTTCAATGATTATTGTCAATTAATATTGAGTGAAAGATATCTTTTTTCATGTTGGGATATGCATCAGCCTGTCCAGGGGTCTTCTACAAGAAATTTGTAGATTTGCTGGAACTTAAGGTTCGGGGCTAGCCTTGAATGACCGAAAGAGTGGTAGGCAAGGTGGGAAATTGGATGACTCAAGAACTTCTGTCGCTTTGTTTATTATTTTTAATGGTTTTATTGTCTTGCTTGTTTACAATTTGAACCTGCTTGTCTTGCTACTTGTGCTGCGGGCTGTTGGACTGCATAGTGCAGTGTGTTGCGTTCGGGCTGATGGACTGCCTAGTGTAGTGTCTTGTGTTCGGGCTGATGGACTGCCTGCTTCTTTGGCCGAGCTTAGGCTTTTTAAGCAGCTGCCGATCGCACCTGAGACCGTGCTTTTTCACGATCTGTCTTTGACCCGGAAATAATTAATTATTGCTAACTTATGACTATTGGTAAACAATAATTGTGGGGCGTGGTAAGTCGAAGCTTGGTGCTTCGTTGACAATTGGCTATAGGTCAGTGGAGTTGGGGAAGTGACTGCATCGCAGCAGGTGCGGGCTGCAGTTGGGAATTGGGTGTAGAATTGGTTCTTGCTAACTCTGCATCGAAGAAGGTGATAGCTGATTTGGGTCGGTAGGTCGATAATTTTATGCTGACGTGAATGGATGCGAAATAACGCAAAGAAGTGGGTGACCGAGAATTTAGTACTGTCTTCGCTGATTACGAAATAATGCAAGAGGTGGATTATTTTTAAATTGGTGTGTGGAAAAGAATACGTAGAGTTGTGGATCGAAAGTTCTTCATTTTAGTAATGGTGTGCGTTGCTTAAGACTATTTTATTTTCCGGAGGTGCTGACACACCGCTACTTGTAGAGAACCGTGGCTAGAGCCATCGTTCCTTGGCTCTGTGTATATCATTTTGATTATTGTCTCCGACCAGCGTGAATGCGCTGACACTCCGCTGTTTGTGACGGGCCGTGGCTAGAGCCATGAGTAATTATCGCAAAAAAGCAGAAAAGCCAGGAGCGAGGCGAATAGGAAACCGGCTTAAGCAAATTGACATTTGACTGTCAACCTTCTTATCAACCTATTACTTTTTTTGGATTAAAAATTATGAAAGCAGAACGAGATTGAACTGCGTTTTGGTCTGAGAAGAGAGACAGAGATAGATTTAGCGAAATTGAAACAGTAGCAGAAAATGGAAACAAATAAAATATTCTGTAATTTTACTGGCTGAATAACGGGAATATCCTTTATTCCACTCGTTTTTTTTTTTAATTTTTCTTATTAATTACTCTTTTTCTTTTTCTTTTATTTCATCTTATTCTTATTTCAGTATTTTATTAGGTCTCTGGCTATTTGCATTCCCCGAAAGTCCCAAATTTCTTCTGGAACATGGAGAGTCTGAAAAAGCTCTAGAAGTTCTAGCACATATTTTTGTCAAGAACACTGGACAAAGCCGCAGTAACTATCCCGTAAGAATTTATATAACTATCTATATGTATAAATCATTTTGCTGACTAAATGTCTTACATATATATCCAATTTGTCTTGAAATCTTGCAAACCCCAGAAATCTTAATTTAAGGCCACAGATCGTTTCAGAGTGTAGCCGCGTAAATTAAATTATTTGTGGATACAGTTTTAAAAAAAAGTTATTTTTTGCCAAATAAGAAAAATTCAGCATCGATTGAGCTCACATTTTAACAAAACATACAATTCATTTAAAAGACTATCAATTTATTTTTCTGGTCAGTATCATTCATTTCCGTGATTCAGCGGTATCCAGCCGCTGAATCGTTTACAACCAGCTTTAGATTTCAGTGGGCACAGCTGGTTGGATTCATTCTTCCTTCCAGTAAATTCGCAACAGATACGCAACACTATGCCCGTCATCGAAAGTAGTTTAGCCATATTTTGTGTAGCGAAAGAAGAAGGAGGGAAGTTATTCATTAGCGCTGAAGTTGACAATTCCAGCTTTATAGGCATGTCTAAATTTGATACTAGAATCTTAGAGATTTTAACGGAAAAAATGTGACCATGTCCAATCCAAGACCTTATCAGCTTCTATGGTGTGATAGAAGCGGATAGAGGGGACTAATTCTGCTCAGCTGGAAAAGACCCTCGCAACTAATTTCTGATATGACTGATCTACCGGCACAATAAGCCCCGATGCTGGCGCTGCTAACTTCGTGAGCTTCTCAATTGGAGTTGGGAATATGTATTTAATGATACTAATATCTCTAATGTATATAATTAATTTTGAGCAACTAAAAAGTAAACTCTAGATTTTTCAGCCGAGCCAAAATTGTACTATTGTTGCAGAATATCCACGGATGTTTATTTAATTATTAGATTTATTCAGCAGCTAAAAAGGTTCGTACTTCTCTCGTTTATATGTTCCGCTAATGTGCTCTGTGGAACTAGCTACGCTCTCTCCGATCTTCCCTTTTGATCTAGCTCCGCATAGTTCAAGTTCGCAGAACCAGAACTATCGGAACTTACTACGATATTTTATACAAGGTGCAAGAGTAGATTTTATGTGGGCTAACAATACTAGTGATATTTCCTCTCTGACTAGAACTGTCGAACTTATTACGATGTTTTATACAAGGTGCGAGAGTAAACGATAATTGTTTGGTCTCCCAGCCGAGCATTATTTAGTAAGTTTAGTCAGTGATGCAGCCTTAAAGTAATTCCTGTTATTTGTTCGTTATTTGCACTGCACACTGTACCTAATTGTAATCGACATGTATCTACACCCGCCCCCCTCACTATAATAGCCCTTTCAACCGTTCTTTCGTCTCTTCGTCTCGCGACTTTCTCCTTTCTATCATTCTCGCTCTGTCGCTCTGTCGTTCTATCGATCATTTTAGCTCTCTCGTTCTATAGAACACTCTCCCGCTCTCTATTTCGTAACATCGCGTAGGGCACGGGCAATTCGGTCCGTCTGCCCCAACATGCCTTCGCATTGGTCATGATCTGGTCTAGCACTTGCATGCCTTTGCATCTCTCGCACTTTTCTTTCGTCGCATATATAAACACGAATCTCGGTTTATATATGCATCTAGCTTTCTTCTTTCTTTCGCCTTTGCTACCGCTCTCTTCATCTATCTTTCTCTTGCTTGTATTAGGGCACGGGCAATTCGGTCCGCCTGCCCTTAGTTGAGTCTTGACGTAGCACTCGTACCTGACACATCGTCGCCTAATCGACCTAATCGACAATAAATAAACATATTTTTATAATAATCTGTTCGTGACGTTTTCTTGTAAAACCAGGTGATACATTTGGTATCCTCTTCTATACAATAATTATAGTAATACAATCTAGCAGTACCAACAATTTTTGTATACTTTTATTATACCCGTACTCAAAAAAGAGTTAAGGGGTATATTAGATTTGTGGTAAAAGTGGATGTGTGTAACGCAGAGAAGTAAACGTTTCCGACCCCATAAAGTATATATATTCTTGATCAGCATCAATAGCCGAGTCGATAAAGCCATGTCTGTCTGTCCGTCTGTCTGTCTGTCTGTCTGTCAGATCAGATCAGATCGGATTATAATTATAGCCAGAATGAAGAAATTAATTTTCAGTTGCTTCCCCCGCCCCCTCCAGCGTGAGACCCACTACTCATTCTCTTTCTCGCTCGTACACTCTGCCTCGTTATGTACGCGAGTCTCTAGCGGAGTAGATGTAGAATATAAATGGTACATGTATAATCTACATGATAGATGTAGAATTTACGTTGTAGATGTTGTGAGGACCTATCTCAGGCTGAGGTATGCATCAGTCCGTCCAGGGTCCTGAATCCTGAATTTGTAATTCACGAGGACTTTTTCGGGAAAAAAAACCAGGAACTTTGCCAGGAACTGAAAAAGAACGGTTAACTATTCACAACATTTTTTGTTTCTTTTAGAGTTTTTAATAGTTTTGTTTATTGTGTCGGGCTATTATTATTGCTACTTGGTTAGTTTTGCTTAGTTTGCTATCGACTCGAAAGCGAGCTCAGAGCAAATTGTCTATTTGCGAACTCGCCTAGATCTCAAAGACTATAAGAGCTAGGGCAACCAAATTTGGTTTCCAGGCTCATGTTTTATCATACGATAAAACTAAAAACGCAGTATCGTAGAAAATGACCATATCTACCAGATTGCTAAATGTGAATCAGATCGGATCATAATTATAGCCAGAATGAAGAAATTAATTTTCAGTTGCTTTCCCCGTCTACTTCAGCCAGAGAGTTAATCATTCTCTTTCTCGCTCGCACACTCTTAATGGAACATGTAAATTAATTATTCTTATATTCCTGTTACTTAAGTCGCGGCATTAGCCATCGGCAGAGAAAGATCGGATATGTTTTATATAATTTTATTCCGGCCTACTGGCGCGGTTCAAAGTGAGTAAAAGACTAAAATAGAAATTGATATAATTATGCATAGGGCCCCCCAGCCTGGGCAGCGCTGCGCCAGCAGCGGTCTCCAGCTTTGCTCCGTCAGCGCCTCGTGCGGACCCAGTTGGTCGAGCGGATGTTTATGCAACATAGTAATATGTTGCCGCCCCTTTCCATGCCAGCGCTGGGTCAGCATTCTTATAACTAAGAACTTTGCCGATACCCTATGGCTGGTGGGGAGTGTTAACTACTCCCCCTCTTCAAGAGTGGTCGCCCTCGACCCTCTCAGGTTCTACAGCATTGTGCTGACCTGGGCCAAATCCCTTCTCTTCTTGAGTAGGGATTTGCAGTAGACGACACTGCCAATAGCTCCGCACAAGATTATTCCCATTCCAAGGGCGAGGATTTTCTATGCTAAGAATCTGATTAACGGTATCGGTGAGAGTGTTTATCTGGCTCTGCACCTTTGTATTAATTACTATCTGTCTATTGTTTGATTTTACCAGCTGCGGTTCCGTAACCTTATGGTCTCCAGGTCGGAGCCGGTGTACCGGCCACTACCTTGAGGCTATTCCCTAGGAAGTCTAGACTTCTCGCCAGCCTATGGTGAATACCAATATCGACCAGCATGTCTTTGACGTGGTTGGAGTCAACTTCCAGCAGTTGTCTCATGTGATATCTTGGAAAGAGGTCTGTCATTCTTAAGGTTTCGTCGGCAATGCGGCTTTACTCTGTTTAGTTGGCTATGTGTCTAATATAATCTAAATCTTCCCAAACTAGTACAGTCCCATCTGTAATGGGGATGTAGTGGAAATGGGAATAGTCAGTGACGCGGGCCACAACTATTGTCAAGAGATGAAGTACCCCGAAAAACCTGAGGATAAAAATTAATATAAAATACACGAATAAAAATAAAATCAACTGGTAAGGATCACCACCATTTATGTTCTTAAACCTAACGGGAGTAATTACTTAAGGTTGTCCTTATGGACCACCCTCCCTTCAATCAGGACTGTTGTCCCCAAGTCCGCCTCTACAGCTTCTTCCACATATAGCGGGAACAACTTGTTTCCAAGGCGCCTGTTACACTTTACTAACACTTTTTCTCCTACCCTAAAGGTTCTGTTTTGTCTGGATTGGTTTATTCGATTGTTTTGCACGATCTGAGCTTTTTGGACCCTATTTTTTATCTCTCTGTGAGAGTCTGCCGCAGCGGCGTGAAAAACGTCTACGGGTCTTTTGTTCGTGACCGAATGTATTGATTTGTTGTATTCCACCGTTGCCTGTAAGAATAGGTCGACTGTGTCGCCGATGCCCTTAGCCATTTTAAGGCATCTGGCAATTTCCACCAACGTACTGCGGAACCTCTCTACCTGTCCGTTAGAGGTGCTGTGTAGTGGGGGCGCGCTTGCGATGTAGGCCCCAAAGTTATTTTGCAAAAGCGATCTGATCGTTTCAGAATTAAGCGACGGTTCGCTGTCGCAATAAATCTGTTTTGCAGGCGGAAACACGCTCATTATTTGCAACAGTGGAGTTTTTAGATCCGCAATGGTGCGGGAAGCTATCGGTTGCGTGATGGCGAATTTCGAAAATTTGTCCACACACGTGAGGAAGTATTTCGTATCTGTTGAGAAAATATCAACACACTTCCTTTTTGGCAGCCGTGTGTGACTGACGTGTTTTTTTTCCGGTGTTTTTTCTTAACTCCCTTTGTTCAATCTTGTTTTAATGTGCAATCGTCGACTGTTTTCTGCTGATTTTAAGATCTAAAACCCTCTTGAATCAAAGAGCTTCAACTAATTATTATACTTTGTCGGTCCTAATAGTGCTTTTCATTTATAGAAGCTGGTAAGTCCCTGGCAGGCTGGTGAAACCACCAGCGAAGATGGCTGACGCCACCATAGTGGCGTCAGGAGTAAAGCGTGCATCTGAGAGCGCTGCAAACAAGACTATGGATATCAAAAAATTTATAGCAGGGTCGAGGCAGGATTTCAATCGGGAAAATAAAATCGTACATACAAGCGAAATGGAAAATAGCACCAATACAAACAAAGATAGTAATACATTTGCTGCCGGTAGCGTGTCTCCAAATGACATTAAAATCAAACAACATGACATAAATCTGTATGAGCTCTCTTTTAAAGGAGAAGCCTGTGTTCTTCTTGCAACTAAACGTAGCAGTATTTTTGAAAATAAAAATATAAAAAGTGACCTTTATCTCTTTGAAAAAATTAAACATACAAATCTTGATGGACTTAAGCGCATAAACCCCCTTGCAGCGACTCTATACAAACTGTACTTTAATACCCCTTATGATGCGAATGCTTTTGTGCTTAACGATGAATTAATAAAATTAAATATCGATATTTTTATTCCAAAGAACTTCACTGAAACCGTAGGTGTCATTAGGGGCATTCCTACAAACATCTCTGACATAAAACTTCTTGACAATCTTTCCTCGATAATTAAAATAAACAGTGTTGAACGCATTTTAAGAAAATCTAAAAATGAAGCGAATGAAGTAGTTCTTGAACCAACTGAGACTGTAAAAATTTCTTTTGCAGGCACAGAAACCCCATCGTCTGTTCAAATTTATGACATATGCTCGCTAAAAGTCAGTTATTATATTCCTGCGGTTAGACAGTGTTACAATTGTGGTCGCTTAGGACATACAGCCTCACGTTGTAAGTCACAAAAGCGTTGCAAAAAATGTGGTAGCAATACTTGCAATGAAAGTTGCAACATTAACAAGTGCATCTTGTGTCAGTGTGATGGGCACAATGCTTTTGAGAGAAACAAATGTCAGCTATGGGCCAAAGAAGTCGACATAAATAAAATTATGACCTTTAAAAAATTAGCCAGGAAAGAAGCCTTAAAGCAATTTTCTTTCCAACAAAACTATGATCGCAATCTTGACTACGACAAAGAATTTCCTCAGATTATCCACAAAAATCAGTTCAATCAAAATAATACCAAATCAAATGATCAAATCTCCCAAGTCATCAACAAGAATGAAGAAGCTAACCATGTTTTAAAAAAGCACTCCTATAGCAGCAGACTTGTTCAACGAACTGTAGGCTTTACGAAACAAAAACCGCACTTCTTACTAGATTCATACACTAATGACTCCAGTGATCATGCCTATAAATTTCCCAACAAGGAAAATGGGGACACTCTAAGTAGTGTCAATAGCACTATAGTTCAAGAATTTCTTGAACTTATCACTCCTGTACTGCTCTTGTCAGCTAACGGCACTAATATTCTTCAAAACATCAGAGGAAAAGTCCTACAGGGTAGCTCGCATCACAGCAAACAGCATGTAGGGAAGAATATAGACCTTTTACATAATAATGACTGTTAAAATCTTACAGCTCAATGTCCAATCTCTTAAAAACAATAAAAATGACATAGAATATACCCTTAACTCTGGTGAATATAGCATTGCTATTTTCTCCGAAGTTTTTTCCCATGATACTACCTATAGAAAACTGATCAATTATGATCTTATTGAAAAACATAGAGATGATGGTTACGGTGGAGTAGCCATTGCTTTTAAAAACGTTATAAAACTTAAAAAAGAAGTCTACAACTCAGATCACGATGTTCTCATCGCCAAAACATGCAACTTAAACAAAAACTTTACCATTGTCTCAGTCTGCTTTGAACCTTCAATGAAGACAGATACTTTTAAAAATGTAATTCAAGACATTGTTGAGAAGCTTGATGGCAGGAGCAACGTGATTTTCGCTGGAGATTTCAATGCAAAAAACACCTGCTTTGGTGACTACGTCACGAATGCCAAGGGTAGATTTCTGGAAGACTATATGAGTAATTCTGGCTATAAGTGTTTAAATGATGGAAACTGCACCTTTAGACGTCATATCGACAGTCAAAGCGGTTTTGTTTTGGATCTAAATCTAACTGTGCTGTGAAATTTTCACTTGGAGCTGTAATTCCACTTTTTTGGAGGCAGCCACCATCACCCTATCTCAATAATAATACCAGAAACCAAAGAGAAGCCGAGGCTCTTTCTTGCCAAAAACAGACTCCTTAGAAGACTTGCAGGTGCTACGCTAGCAGGAAATATATCAAACATCACGAATAGCCTCACAAACAGTATTAGGGTCTCAACTTATGCCTTAAGCAACATTAGATGCCCCAAAGCTTGGTGGAATTTAGAATTACAGCTGCTGCACTCCAAATATACAGAATCACAAATCCTGGCACAGAGAGCTCCAAGTCTGAACAACTATATAAGAGTGGTTAACCTGAAAACAGAATGGAAAAAGGCAGTAAAGCTTGCAAAAAAGAACTCGTATGCCAACAAAATTGATCTACTCAATCAACAGCCAAACTCAAGGAAAGCCTGGCTTTTCTCGAGGAACATCAAGTCCTTCAATGATCCTTTAAAATCAAGCTTTAGTTCAGAATGGTCTTCTCCGTACCTTGAGTTTCTTAGAAGACAAGTCTCTGTATCAGCGAAAGTTCAAACATATTTTCCTAGAAAAACTTCTCTGAACATTGATTCTTTTGACTTGAGTGACCTGTCTGCTGTTCTCAACAGAGGCAGAAACACTGCGGGAGGTATAGACGGAATTACATATGATATGGTAAAAGCACTCAGTAGTCCAGCACAGAACAATCTTATACAAGAATACAACAAGCTATTTACAAAGTGTAGAGTCCCTGATCAATGGCGTTCCATCAAAGTCATTCCCATCCCAAAGCGCGGTAAGGATCTCAGCATTTATCAAAACTATCGCCCTATCTCGCTCATCTCTGTGTTGGCTAAAACTCTTAACCTAATGATTAAGAATCGCCTCGATATGTTCTTAGAAGAACACAATATAATGCCCAGACGGACTTATGCCTACCAAAAAGGCAAATCAGCAGCCATAAATGATCTTATCAATACCATGGCCCATGAGAAAAAACGGGGAAAATCGGTTGTAACTGTCGTTGTAGACATAGATAATGCATATAACTGTGTTAATCTACAAACCCTACAAATGTTAATGGATCATGAACACATTCCTACGCAATATACAGATTGGATTGTTAATTTCTTCTCATCAAGATTCTTAAAACTTGGTGACTCCATTAAAGAAGTCAATGGTGGTTTGCCTCAAGGCTCCTGCCTCTCGCCTATACTTTTCAATCTGTACACCAAAAGGCTGCATCAAATCAATGATTGCCATACGACTGTAATTCAGTTTGCTGATGATTTTGCCATCATCTCAACTGGGTACAACATAACTGAAGCTAGGAACAACTTACAGGTAAAGGTCGATAACTTTCATTTGCTCTGTCAGGATCTAGGTCTTAATTTCAATCCCAGCAAATCTGCAGTTATGGTTGCTGGGAGGGGAAGACGTAACAACATCTCGGTAACATGCAATAATAGCAGTTTTCCGATAAAGGAATCCATCACCTTTTTAGGCAGAGTCCTTAGTGCCAATATGTCAGACAAATTGCACATTGCAAAAATCAGGGACAAGTCAGACAAAAGTCAGCTTCTGCTACATGCTGTAACCATCATTAAATCAGGTCTCAAACCCAAAATCTCTTGCAACATCTTCAAATCTTTCATCAGATCTCAGCAGGAGCACGCCATTACCAGTTTTTCAAATCTAAACATTGGCATTAGCAAATCTCTTAATACTGCACAGACGGACTGCCTTCGCCGATGTGTGGGTGTCCCTCCAAAAACATCTACGCACCTGATTTTTGCTCTGGCTGGTATTTTACCGCCTAAACACAGAGCTAAGATTCTTACAGTCAGAGAACTGCTTAAGGTTAAAGTGCTAAATCCGACTCTTTATGATAATGTCACTCTGTCTAACGCAAGGACTGCCTACACAGCCGTGTACCAAGAATTTCGACACCTTTCGACCTTTTCGACAATTATACTGAAAATGAAAAATACAAACACAGTCCTAAAGCTGCAATTTGTTTCTCAGTCTTTGACAGGAAAAAAAAAGACATCTCAAACGAAGAATGTAATGCCATATTTCAAGCCAAGCTTGAAGAGTGGGTGTTAGATGGGTGGAACATTCTTTCCACTGATGCCTCCATCAATGGTGTTAGGTATCTTGGATTACCCTAGTAACAACAGCTATAAATTTAAGATTGAAAATAATTCCTCTTCTGTTTTTGCAGAACTTGTAGGAATACTAACAGCAGTAAAGATATCAAGTAAAAAAAGATATAATAAAACTGTTATTCTCTGTGATAGTCAAGGGGCCTTAAAGGCTCTGAAAAGCAATGAATCAAATTCATACTTAACAGACGAAATCCACCTCAATATAGACAATTCCTTCACTAGCAACTTTATTTTGCACTGGATACCCGGTCATAAGAACATTGCTGTTAACGAAAAGACTGACTTACTAGCCAAATCAGCCACTAGCGTGGGTAGAATAGTTAACACACCTCTCAGCTTCGATGAAGTAATTAGAACAGTTAAGATTAGAGTCCAGATCGACTGGAATAATGAGTATAAAGAAATATCAAAAATTAAAGGGGCGTATTTTGCTTCAATTTATAGCGAGATTCCAGTCAAACCGTGGCACTGGGCTCTTGACTGGCGTGCCAAAAATATAAAGGTCATAAACAGTAGTCTGTTTATTGGACGTACCTATGATCACGTCTTTTTACATAGGATCAAAGCCAGAAATTCCAACATCTGTGAAGTTTGCAGTGTTCTCAATGATGCGGAACACGAAATTTTCTACTGCCAGAGACATGCCAGTATTAGAAAAAAGTACAAGATTTTCAAGCGATTTAATAACATCAAGGATTTATTACTCACAAAAGACCCTCTTTTCTTTAGAGAATTGGCGAAATATATTGATGAGGCCAATTTGGAGTTTTGAATCAAAGCACATGGGATCAATTCAGGTCAGGCAACTCGGTGCTATCGGAAGTCACTTTGAGGAGCAGCCTTCTGTTGTTCCTACTCTCTGGAGCAACCTTCTGTTGCTTTTTTTTCTGTGATAATTTTCATACAAACTAATCTCAAGCAAACATATCACTTTAATCTTAGAATACCTGTAAAACGTAAACATTAAAACATACACATTACACTTTCTAACCCTTACATTGTATAATTGACATTTTATTATTAATTTCCTTGTAAAACTCACGCACACGAATACACTTTTAAACTAAATATTATACTGTATAATTACCTACACCGTTAACACCAACCCAATGTACTTTGTTAAAATCATTACACCTAACATTACTTTGTAAAATTAATATCACCGAGAACATCATCTTAATGCAACACCGTGCATGCCCTCATCAACAAAACCTTGGAATCATCGAAAAGCAACACCGTGCATGCCCTCCACAACAAATCATCGATAGCACCATACCAACTGAAGTATCTGGTCATTGCAGATTCATCGTCGTGCGACCACTCAATTCGCTTTAGCGATTAAGACCGGCGTCGGGCCTAGCTCCTGTTTTTTTGGGTGCCTGTCATACTTTACTCGGGAGCACACTTTACAGTTTACTACTTACTACTTTACTGCTTGCAAGTTTGGACATCTTGGGAAAATAGTAATCAGTTAACACCTGTTTAACGTTTTCCTGGGCCGCCCTATGGGCCCGATTGTGTTCTGCTGTGATGATCTCTTTTTTTTCGTTCTCATCGAACACGTCGGCGACAAGATTCTTGCAATGTCAGAATCTTGTCGACGGAAAGGCTCTTACCAACTCATGCTGTACGCATGCTAAGGTTGGTAAGTCGCAATGGATTGCGTTTACTACTTGTGGGTTCACCACGGACTTGACCATTTCAGTGAGAGCGTCCTTGTCATGGAACTGTATTACGTGGCGTGTTTTTTCCCCAAAAAGTACGAAAATCTGTTTCAGAGGGAAGCGCGCCTCCTCTAGGATGATCTGGTTCCTAAAGCAATTGACGGGCTTGTCTGATGATTCTATCGTGTAAGTCATCGAAACCTCACTGTGAATCGTCGCTGCGTCTGACCGCGGTATGCCGCTTTCTAGCGCGCAAATGTTCTGTCGAGACAGTGCGTCTGCGACGAAGTTTTCTTTCGCCGGCTTATAGAATAGCCTGGCGCCCATCTCATCGATGCGTGCCTTCCATCGCTTAATTTTCCCGTTCGGATTTTCCTCCGACACCGCGAACGTGAGCGGCTGGTGGTCAGTGAACACAAATATGTCCCTGACGCCATAAATATAATGGCGCAATTTCCCCAAGGCCCACACAATTGCTAAAAGCTCCCGCTCGTTAGTAGCGTAGTTGAGCTCATTGTCTTTAAGGGTTCTTGAGATCATTGTTATTGGTCGGCCTCCCTGTGACAGTACCGCTCCTATGCCATAGGCAGAAGCGTCTGTAGTGAGGTCGAAAGGTTTTTTGTAGTCTGGGTACATCAGCATTACGTTTTCTGATGCCAGAATGTTTTTAAGTTTTTGCTGATTGACCCATTCTCCCCTTTCAGGAAGTCGGAGAGCGGGCGTGCGATTGCCGCGAAATCTTTCACGAAACATCTGTAATAGCTTGCCAGGCCTAAGAATGATCTTAGCCTGAAAAGCGTTGATGGCTCGACGTATTCCTGGATAGCTTTCACTTTCTCAGGGTCCGCTCTTGTGCCTTCGCTGGTTACGATAATCCGAGGTATTCTACGCTCGTTTTAAAGAACTGCGACTTCTCTTGAGCCACCCTCATGTTGGCTTCATAGAGGCTTTTTAATACCCAGTCGACGTGTTTAACATGGTCGTCCTGGGACTTTGAAAAAAAGATTACGTCATCGACTTAGACATAGCATGCTTTGCCGATTTGTTCACGCAAAACTCATACTTTCCTCCATTTACGGAAAAGGAGGTTTTTTCCCTATCGCGCTCCGCCAAAGTTATTTGGTGGTATCCGGATTTCAGGTCCAGAGTTGTAAAATACTTTGCAGTACCCAGATTTGCCAAGATCATTGAGATGCTCGGCATTGGGTATTTGTCGGGCACTGTTTTCTGATTGAGCTTCCGAAAGTCCATTACGAGACGTTTCTTCCTATTACCCTTTTCATCAATGCCCTTCTTATCCACCACCGATATAGGATTGTTATACGGCGATCTTGATTTTTGTATGATGTTGTCTTTCAGGAGGCTGTTAACCTCGGAATCGACAAAATCAGCTACCCCCATCGGGTAGGGGTATAGCTTGGGATAAATTGGTTCGTCGTCCACCGTGCGAATGGTGGCCACGACCGAAGTATTATAGGGCAGCGACCCGTTAGGGTCGGCAAATGCCTTACTTCTTTTCTTTAGCATCTGCATGAAGTTTGCCTTTACGGCTGGCGGTGCGTCGATATCAACAACGTTGGTGTGGTTGACATGTGCGCATTTATGGAATTGGATCATCTCAGTTGTGTTACCAACCTTGAGTGTCCCATTCTTCAGAGATAGCGTGGCCCCCACCTGCGTTAGCAGGTCAGGGCCAATGATGCCATCAAAGCCCGTTAGCGTTTTTAAGAGAAAAAACGGGGTAATCTTGCCGAACATTGACAAGGAACATTTTTCCGTTATGTTGTTAGACCCGTTAATTGAGTGAACGGGAAACGGTGATTCGACAGGGGTGACGCCGGGAAGCCACCTGAATGGCTTGATGAAATTCTTTGACGCACCCGTGTCGATAAGGAGTTTTATCTTAACCCCCCTACTAGCCCGCCCCAAATGGCTTTTGGTGAGCCGTGGGCTGTCTAAATTTCGAGGATGAAGGGTCCACCTCCATACGTTGGATGTGCCCGGACTCTTGAAATAATGAGGGCTCTTGTAAGAAGAAGGGACCTGGGCCCTATATTTCTTGGCATTGCTTAGATGTGGCGCCTGGGGTTTGCGCTCACTAAATCTATGGGCTTTCTCCTCCATTGCCCTGGCGTAATTTGCTTCCAGAACGCAGCGGTCTTCGCTGGATTCAGCTGATTGGGCCAGAGCCAGCGCGGTCGGAAGGTCTTTAGGCCTTGCTGAGAAAACCGGAGTTTTTAAGGTTCTTCTCAAGCCTGGAATGAAACTTGTACAATCTACATGTTAGATGTAGAATATACATAGTATATGTAGACGTAGCTAACAGATGTAGCAAAAAAATGTAATATGTAAAATTTTTTTTTTTTATTCTAAAATTCTATAAAATCATATGTTTAAAAATGTATATACTGACTGAGTACGGGTATAAGTAGAGTCGCATCCCCAGAAGCGACTCCCACATTCCTTCTCGTTTTCTTTATTTTGTCTCTTTTATAACCATTTTCGTGGATATTGGTGGCGCGTTTGCTGAGTTTTCATTTTGTTGGATGTTGACCTCCTCAGTTGAGAGCGTTGGTTACTTGGTTTTGCTGTGGTGGGTGTTGGTTATATACAGGGGTGCCACAGAAATAACTAGTGAACTAGTGCAGTCTCCGAGCTAAATTTTACGGCAAACTTAATTAAAATGCTTTTACCGAGACTGTTGGCCATCGAAGAACTACGGAGGCAAAATATTAAAAAACAGACCTTGCAGCGCAGGCTTCTCAGATGCGCATCGGACTCGTTTTCACGTTCAGACGATTCGTATGTGGTTTTTGTGATTGTCTTCTCAAACTACTGCTAATTTAGTTCATTACAATTACCAGTTTTTGGTAAAATGATCGCTATGCTTCTATTTGTGCTGCCATGGGTCTGCGCTTAGCCGAACAGGGGTTTTTGACATAAATGCAGGGGTTTGTTAGTTGTTTTTTTTTTTGGCATTTTGAAGCGATGCCATCTGGTAGAACTACAAATGACTACAAATGTTTTCACAATTTTGCACAAAAAGTATGCACACGTTTGACCAAAAGAAAGTTTTACTACAATGAGCTATTTTTTGTAAAGCTTAATTAAAGAAAAACAGAATGCTTTCTGCTGTGAGCTTTTCCGACCGCTTGAATTATGAATAATTTCCAAAAAAGAAAGTCACAACGCGAAATCGTTTAAACTTAACAAATGTTGGATTTATTCTCAACAAGCGACAAATTCAATCCGTGTGTTTTATGGCGAATGGTTACTGAACATATAACTACTTCCCAAGGGTCGTCGTACTACCCCGCTCTCAAGAGCAATGCAACTCACTCAGCCCGCTCAACGCTATGCACTCGGGCTTGATCTACGATCAGTGAGCGAACGTTTGATGGTAAGAGCGAGCGTGCATTCGATGTAAGAGCGCCAGCTGGCACAAAGTGCTTGTTGCCAGCGGCTGCTCCGAAAACTTCCAATATAATTAATATTAAATATATTGCTCCGAATTCGACTTAAAAAAGGTCGCATTACTGTATTAACTTCGAAAGTCCGAATCGCGCTAGGTGGCCATCTCGGTCTGCAGCGGATTGAGAGCGGAATCGTTAAGTCAGTCAGCGGATTGAATAGTGATTTACTAAAATGCTTATTTTATTAACTTAACATGTATAATGTTAAATTATTTGGATGAAGGTTAACCACCAATTGAACAACCTTTATGGAAAGTAAGATTCGAATCGTTTAAAGTGTGTTTTATGGGTGTATTAAATCAAATCGCTGCATAAATCGTGCCCCAGCACAAAATTGAGTGCATAAGCTATTTTTCATGGATGGTGGACGGTAGATGGTGGATGGTGCCAGTGTGAGTCGGGATTCCACATCTTTCAAAAATTCCCACCATTCCCCCGGGATGGGCCCAC